AGCTGACTGCAATGAAGGCAATGGCGGTGAAGACTCCCATGATCCCACGCTGCTTCACCACCTCATCAATATTTTGTTACTGTTTGGATGTGAGAGACCCCCTAGCAGCAGCAATTACAGATTGCACATTTAAAGCACAACTGAGTCTAACACAATGTCTACCCAGCACGTTAGCATCCGTCTTTGTCTACCCGGGATGCGTTCAGGAACAGTATTCAGTCTAGCTCACACGCGTTTTGACAACTCAGAATCCAACAGAAAATCTGTTCTCTCAGATGTGTGAGAGACAGAGCTGAAATGCCTCCTGCTTAGAAAGGCTGTGAGCAGAGCTGAGGATGCCAAAGCGGAGGCCTCCATGAGTCAGAAATGTTAAAATTGCTCCAAATCAGAGCCACGGAAAACCTCTCTGAAACTGCGTAGATTCATTTTCCAGAAGAACAGGTCTGATCTAAAGGGGACATGGAAACATCATCGTTCTTTATGCTTCGGTGACTAAACAAGAGAGATAACGAGTAATATTTGCATGTCCTACGTCAGTGCTTTTCACTGAAGACACCTGACTATGTTACATATTTTGTTTCATAGATATTTCACATTATATTATCATGAAAAAGAACAACACAACAGAAAGCCTGATAAACTGTACAATAACCCCAAACAGTGAACACAATAACTAAGAGCAGATTATTTCCTGTGAATATTACATCATAGATATTTTTTTGCAACTTTTTATACAATTCTCTGTTTGTATTATGTTTTTTATTTATTTTTTTATATACTTTTTTTTTATATATCTTTACTTAATAGGCTTCTTTCTTGACAAACAAAAATACTCCCTGATGCTTGGCTATTATTCTATTAGGCTATAGATTGCTTTCTTACACCCCATAAAATTAAGAAGGCCTCGCAACCCCCTGTGAAGCTTTGGCGACCCCCCTAGTAGGGGTCCCGACTCCCAGGTTGGGAACCACTGTCCTACATCAACAAAAATATTCTTAAGCCAACTGCGACGATATTTTCTCCTGAGGATGATGAGTTTAAGCAAAACTTGTAGTATAAGGAACAACTTTATTGAAACGTTTCCTTTTTGACGTTCATCAGGGTTATATAGGATTATGACCGTAAATGGCTGCATTTATCCAAAGCACTTTGGATTTGTCGCTCAATATATTGTTCAGCATCTTGCCCAAGGACACTTCGACATGTCAACAGGAGTAAGTGGGGATTGAACCACCAACCCTGTGATCAGTGGATGTAAGATTTGATACTGAGTAATGTGATTAGTTATTTTAACTCCAAAGATTTGTTGAAATTGATTATTTTGAAAATTGTAAGTCACAAACTCAATTTCTGTGTGAATGTAAGTTAAAAAAGAATAAAAAAATATCAATGAGCAGCTCTTAATAGTAATTTTTAGTGACACTAACTTACTTTTGTAAGTTACAGAAAAATTCCTGATGTAGTTTGTTTTCACAATACAAATAAAAATTATAAAATGAAGGCAGCATCACAATAACTGTAAAACCAGATAAACCAGATTTTTAATTAAAAAACATTCTAATTTTATATGACACTGACTTAATTTTCTCATTTTTAATTGTACTGGGAAAACAAAATACCTAGTAAAAACATCACATTACAAGACAAATGTGGAGCAAAGTTATTTTGACTTGAACTTTGAGTAACACAAACTCAATTTTGTAAGTTAAAAACCTGTGTGACCCGGACCCGGTTGGGTCTTGGTTACTAGAAACCCAGTTGACCTGTTACAACACCCTGGCACAACATGAAAGAAAACAAAACCCACCAACAACAAAGAAATCAGAATTAATTCCATGTTGTTGGAATGAATCCAGTTACTGGGGGCGGATCGAATCAGCTCTATGCCAAAACATTAACATTCTGAATATCCACAACTTCCACTGGGACATGCCGGCCTATTAATAGGCAGCATGAAGTGTAAATTATTAATTAAATTAAATTAAATTATTAGATAATTTAAAGTTTTTATACTTTTGTCAGTTTCTCTAAAAATTTAGATTTCTATTTTATTTATTTTGTTAAAAAGCTGCCCGGTTGCTTGTGAAATCTGTCTACAGGAATACATATAATTCAGTCATCAGTACCATGTATTCATTACTTTCATTCTGTATTTTGGCCAAAGTGCTGAATGT